ATTAATGATGTGTCAACTAGTAGAGTATTACAATTGATCCATATAGATCTTTTTGGGCCAACTAGGACTACTAGCTTGGGTGGAAAACAATATGCATTTGTCTTGGTAGATGACTATTCTAGATATACTTGGGTTCTATTCTTAAGTACTAAAGATGAAGCATTAGAAAATTTCATCACATTTTCAAAAGTAATCCAAAACGAAAAAGGTTACTCTATCACTAGTGTTAGAAGTGATCATGGCACTGAATTTGAAAATCTTGGATTTAATGAGTTTTGTAATTCTAATGGTATTAGCCATAATTTTTCAGCACCTAGAACCCCTCAACAAAATGGAGTTGTTGAGAGGAAAAATCGAACTTTAGAAGAAATGGCTAGAACCATGCTTTGTGAAAATAATTTGCCAAAATATTTTTGGGCGAAGCCACAAATACCGCTTGTTATGTTGTAAATCGAGTAATGATTAGGCCAATTTTAAAGAAAACTCCATATGAAATTTTCAAAAATAAAAAGCCTAACATTAGTTATTTTCATCCTTTTGGATGTAAATGTTTTATTTTAAACAACGGTAAAGAAAACCTTGGCAAATTTGATGCTAAAAGTGATGAAGGAATTTTTCTGGGTTATTCCTTAAATTCTAAAGCTTATAGAGTATTTAATAAAAGAACTTTGGTTGTAGAAGAGTTTATACATGTTGTTTTCGATGATAATCTCCTTCCGAGGAAGGATTATTGTTTGAATGATGATGTAGGTATTATAAATACAAATAACGTCAGACATGACGTTGGAGAATCATCATCAAAGGAAGAAACGAAAGATGAGGAAACTCATGATCCTCTTGAGAATCCAACCATTGAAGAAAGGGAAGTATCTTATCCAAGAGAGTACAACTATGTCAAGGATGGTGAGATTATAGGTGATCCATCCAAAGGGGTAACAACTCGATCTTCTCTTAGAAATATTTGTAATTATGTTGAATTTATTTCATGCATAGAGCCTAAGAATATTAAAGAATCATTAAATGATGAACATTGGATTATGGCTATGCAAGAAGAATTAAATCAATTTGAGAGAAGTAAAGTATGGACATTAGTTGAAAGGCCTAGTAATAAATCTACTGTAGGTACTAGATGGGTATTTAGGAATAAGCTTGATGAGAGTGTTAATATAGTGAGAAACAAGGCTAGACTTGTTGCTCAATACTGTACTCAAGAAGAAGACATAGCCTATGATGAAACATACGCTCCCGTAGCTAGGATGGAAGCAATTAGAATATTATTAGCATTTGCATGTTTTCATGAATTTAAATTATATCAAATGGATGTTAAAAGTGCATTTTTAAATAATTTTATAAAAGAAGTGTATGTGGAACAACCTCCAGGTTTTGAAGATTCAAAATTTCCAGATCATGTTCTTAAATTGACAAAAGCACTTTATGGTTTTAAACAAGCTCCTAGAGCTTGGTATGAAAGATTGTCAAATTTTTTAATTGAAAAGGATTTTTCAAAAGGGAAGGTTGACACTACATTGTTTTTAAAGCATAAAGGTAAAGATTTATTAGTAGTTCAAATCTATGTTGATGATATAATATTTGGTTCTACTAATGATGTTCTTTGCCAAGAATTTTCTAAGCTAATGCAAAGCGAATTCGAAATGAGCATGATGGGGGAGCTCTCATTTTTCTTGGGACTCCAAATCAAGCAAAGAAAAGATGGCATCTTCATCAATCAAGCTAAGTACGTCAAAGATATGCTCAAGAAGTTTGGACTGAAAAATGACAAACCTCATGAAACTCCAATAAGCTCATCAACAAAGCTTGACTTAGATGAAGGAGGTAAATGTGTAGATGTTAAATTATATAGGTCAATGATTGGATCTCTACTTTATCTAACTGCAAGTAGATCGGACATTATGTTTAGTGTTTGCTTATGTGCTAGATTTCAATCATGCCCTAAGGAATCACATTTACTAGCTGTTAAGAGAATCTTTAGATACCTTAAGGACACTCCTAGTTTAGGACTTTGGTATCCTAGAGACTCTAGCTTTAGCTTGCATGCCTTTTCTGATGCGGATTATGGAGGATGTAAATTAGATAGGAAAAGCACCTCCGGTACTTGCCAATTCCTTGGAAATATGCTGATTTCTTGGTTTTCAAAGAAACAAAATTGTGTTACATTATCTACCACTGAAGCCGAATACATTTCAGCTGGTAGTTGTTGTGCACAAGTTTTATGGATGAAACAACAACTTTTTGATTATGGAATTGAAGTAGGTACTATTCCTATCAAGTGTGACAATACTAGTGCTATTTGTCTCACTAAAAATCCCATCCAACACTCTAGAACTAAGAACATTGAAATAAGACATCACTTTATTAGAGACCATGTCACTAAGGAAGATATAGTTCTAGAATTTGTTGATACTTTGCATCAATTAGCGGATATCTTTACAAAACCTTTAGACAAGGAACGTTTTTGGACACTTAGGAGAGAATTAGGTTTAACTGACCTATCTTCTCTTAGTGTTTAAAATAATTTTAGCACTTTTAAGACTAAATGAAAAATGCTTATAATAGTAATTTCTGATTACATTCATTGTTATTAGTTATGGGGAGTTTATGATTCTTGATGAAAAATTAACTTTATGTTCAAATGTAGTTTAAGAATTAATTTGATTGATTGAACATAATTAATTTTTGATATATGAGTTGCCAATACCACTAGAGAAGATTAATTTAGCATTTTGAGTGTTTAAAATACAGATTTTTAATTATAGGGCAGAGGGAATCGATACCCCCTTAAAGGTGAACTGATTCCCCCTTTAAAGGGGAACCGATTCCCCCTAGGGGAATCGATACCCCCTAGGGTTCTGGTTTTATCGGGCAAAACCCTTGTTTTTGGCTCAAACCCTCTTTTCTTCTCTTCCTTTCCACCGTTTCCCCTCTCTACTCTCCCTATCTCCATTTTTGCCTCAAATCAACGTTTTTAATCGAAATTCTCTTCAAATATCATCTCCTAAACCTTCTAGCATCATTAAAATCGTGCAAACAATATCAAAATCCACTCAATCTCATCTTTCAAGGTAAATTTTTTTAAACTCTCTATTTCATTGATTTTGAACATATGACTAGTTTTAATTAGTTCTAAATAGAAATAGTGATCGGGCATTGCTTATTAGTGTTTAGAAACTAAATTTTTTACAACTAATTTCATAAAAAACACAAGATTTTTCAAAAAATTTTGAAATTTTCGAAATAATTTTTTTTATTGTGTTTTAATTGAATTACGTTGTTATTATAAAAACTATACATATATTGATTTTTAAAACCTTATTTTTCAATACGTTTTTTGAAAACTTTGCCCCATTAGGATTGGTTTAGAGAACCTTGAAATATTGAGAACTCAATTGAGTTTTGGGATTAATTGAATTGCATACATGTGTTTTCTAAATTGCAGGTTATCCATTCTATTCTGATTTCCTAAACAATGTCCAATCCTAAACGTGCTAGGTCATCATCTAGTCGCTCAAATCGTCAACCAAATCCACCTCAAAATCCTCCTCCTATTCTTGAAATTCCAATTCCTAATCCTGTTGATCCTAATATGACTATCCAAAACTCGTGTTTCAATCATCCTGATCCTAGAAATCATCGTTTTTGGTATTATCAATATTTTGACTCTTACAAAATTAGAGAAGAACGTATCCCTTCTCGTCAAGATATGATAGATATCAATTTTAGATATCTTCCTCTTTTACAAGAGTGGAAATTTGATAAACTTTGTGACCTTGAACCTATAGTTTACCATCAACTTGTTCGCATATTCTATTCAAATGCCGTGTGTGTTAAAAACCGAGCTCAAACCAAAACCATAGCAGTTCGTTCCTATCTCCTAGGACAATTCATCCATCTTTACTCGGCTTACATAGCTAATGAATTAGGATTAGATAATGATGGTATATCAAATGAAAAATAGCTTTTAGGTTCTCATTATAAAAGAAGGGATAGTGCGAATGTCTTAGATCTTCATGACCGTTTTCATCATCTAATGATTTCTTGGTGGTTTTGACCATCCGGAGGTCGTTACTCTACTCTTCGTGCTTTAGATCTTTGGTGGTTACATTGTTTCCAAAATAGTATTAAAATAAATCTTCTGAGATTATTTTTGCTGAAATTTTTGAAACCGTAAACTTAGTACCTAATAAGAAACTTTGTTCCTCTCTAGTTTATGGTTGCATTCTAAGTAATCTATTTTCTAAAGCCGGGCTTAGAGTAGGTCTAGATGTTGTCTTTCCTCTCAAGAAAAAAATTAATCTTCTTTCCTTAACAAGAGCGGGATGGATAAAGAATAAGGACACCGGTGAATGGGTTCGATCTTCTGAAGATACTCCGGGAGCTAGTTCTTCACGAGCTCCTCCAGCAGATGACGACGATCCCGAACTTGAGCAATTAATGCAAGATATTGATGAAGCCGACAATGAGCTGGAACAACACGAGGAACAAGCTCAGCAAGAATATCATGTGCCTCCATATTTTCAATCATTCATAGAGACATTTGATTTCCGTTATTCATCCTTGGATTCTCGCTTCACTTCCATAGAATCTCACTTCTCGACTATGGAAGCTCAACAATTGGAAATTCTCCGGGAGATGCGTACAAATTATGAGGCAACCAACGCTAGTACTAATGAACTCATTCATGAAATGGCAACTATGCGAGCTCATTTCCCACCTCCCGATCCTCCTACGGATGCTTGAACTTTAATCTTTGCTTTGCTTGTTTGGATTGAACTTGGATATTTGCATTATTGTTAAAACATTTTGAATGCTTTTGGATTGTTTATTGATAACTTCCTAAAAAGGCTACTTTTAAGGCATTTTTCACTTAAGTTATTGTTTGTTTAAAAGCTCATTTTAGGCATTTTAGGATCATGTAGTTGCATATAGTTGCATTTGTGGTGGTAGTGTTATTTTATTTCTTAATGGTGCTGCTTGAGGGAAAGGTGCAGTTTGTTTGTGGTGTGCAGGGAATAGCAAGAAAAAGGATTCTTTGGGAAGCAATGCCGCGGCATCACACGTTACTAAAGCAGAATGAAATGCCTCGGTATTTCTGGAGCAGAAAAAGACAAAAATGATATTTCTGCACAAGGACAGCTGGCACTAGACAGCTGTCTCTGCACGTGAAGGACTGCTGTAACCGCCTGCCAAAGCTGCCAGAGGACCACTGCCACTTGGAGGATAAGATTCACGCTCAACATGTGATTCTAGGGGTATGAGGGGTATTTTGCACCCAACAATATCATCATTACCCCTAGATATTTTTTTTATTATATATGACACCTCATGGGAGAGAGGAAGAGAGGATTCACGCACACGCATACTGTAGCAAAAATCAGATTTTTATTTTCTTTTTATTTTCTTCTTTCTTGGGATATTCCTCCATTGATAAAGCTCCAAGGAGTGGCAAGCTAGGCGCCGAAAGGAGCTAGCGAGCTAGGTGGTTCACGGTGGCCGAGAGGAGACCTCCGGTGGCGCGTCGAAGGCTTCTTCTCAACTTCCCTTTTTGCTGCTATTTTATATTTATTTGTGGGTTGTTGGAACAAATATTTTCATGACTTTGTGTTTGGATATTTTGAACTCCACCATGAACTAACTTATTTGGTGATGGTTGATTTAATGGTTGTTTGAACTTTATTTTTAATGGTGTATTTAAGTTTATTTTGGTTCTTTATTTGCTTTGCTTATGAATGCTTCACCATCTAGGCTTGTAAGAGGCATGGAAATGTCTATTTCTTAGATGAATGTTAGGTATTTGGAAGAATCCTAGACTAAAAATACTTGTAAGTATTCAGAAGAAACGCAAGATAAGATCCCCCATAAGCAATGGGTTATAGTATTTTCAAGGGGCTTTGAACCGGCCTAGGAATATTATAACTTAATCCCTAAGATCTCGGAAGAGACTATGATAGGATTTCAACGACTAAAAAGGGTGTCTTTATCAATAGGGTAGGCTGGCCAACATCGTTGAGTGAGAGCAGATGCCTTGGCATCCTATTCTGTTAGGTTCTTTTTGAACACTTTAGGAAAGCTCTGTCGAGTAAGTAAAGACCAGGTAGCTTAAATATACTTGAGAAATAAGTTTAGCAACCTTAGATCAATCCCTACCATTCATTCTCTTGGAAGCTTGTCACGTGAGGATTATTTTCTTTACATTCTATTCTCTTTTTATTTACTGTTTTTACCATTTTTCATTGCCTTGACATTTCACCATACTCAACATTAAACATCCATCATTGCCATTGCATTTCCATTTGCTACACCATCAGACCATCACTCCATATCCACCAGCATACACATTTACATTGCCGTGACATTTGTATATATCAAGACTAACTATACTTAGATAGAATAGTGAATTGTTTTGGTTAGACTTTTGTAATTTCACCCAATCCCTGTGGAGACGATACTTACTCATCATTATATTACTTGAGCGATTGTGTATACTTGCACATTATTTGCGTATAATTTATAGTACTCACAACACGCGAACAAGTTTTTGGCACCGTTGCCGGGGATTGGCAGCCTGAAATTATTTAGTTTTGCCAAAGCATTTTATTTTGTTTTGCATTTTTATTTATGTATAGTTTACTTGATATTTTTGTTTTATTTTTTGGTTTATCTAGTGTATGCCTAGAAGAAATTCTGAAGAGCCTTTGGAACCAATAGAACCTGAGATTGAAAGACTCTTTAGAAGAAGAAGACGTACTCAAAGAAATATGTATCAGATTGGAAACCAAGGCATTGGTCAGGATGACGGAAATCATAATGTCGCGGCATTAGACAATGTTGCTCCTGCTGTTAGGCCTCGTGTTATTTGCGATCACTTAAATCCGATGCTGGATGATCTGAATCCTGGGATTGTGGTACTTGAAATTCAAGCTGCACATTTCGAGCTGAAACCAGTCATGTTCAACATGTTGAATTCTATTAGGCAGTTTGGGGGTATGCCAACTGAAGATGCCAGGCAGCACATTTGCAATTTTCTGGAAGTTTGTGATTCTTTTCGCCAAGAAGGAGTGCATAAGGATTTTCTGAAATTAAAGCTTTTTTCCGTATTCATTGCATGACGGAGCAAGGGCTTGGTTGAGTGGTGTACCAGCCGATTATATGGAATCATGGGTCGATCTTTGTAAGAGTTTCTTATTCAGGTACAACCCACCAAACATGAATACGCAGCTAAGGAATGAAATATCATCTTTTCGCCAAGGCGACGACGAATCCATGTATGAGTGTTGGGATCGTTACAAGAGTTTGCTTTGAAAGTGTTCAAATCATGGTTTTCATGATTGGACTCAAGTAGTCATGTTCTATAATGGAGTCAATGCACACGCGAGGATGTTACTGGATGCCTCAGCAAATGGGACATTGTTGGATAAATCACCTGCTGAGGCGTTTACTATCTTGGACAGAATTGCTAATAATGATTATCAATTTCATTCCTCAAGGCTTGGGAGTGGAAGGAGAACACCTGGAGCATTTGAGTTAGATACCAAGGTTCGGTGTCCGCTCAACTCTCAGCCATCACTAATATGTTGAAGAACTTATAACGTTCCACTAATGTGAAGGAAGTAAAAGCAACTAGCTTGGCATGTCTGTTATGCCAAGGAAATCATCACGAGAGTGAATGCCCAACCAACCATGAGTCCATCAACTTTGTAGGTAATTACAATCGATGTAACAACAATCCTTATTCTAACACTTATAATGTTGGATGGCATCAACATCCCAATTTTTCATGGGGAAATCAAGGAGCCCACAATGTTAATCATCCTACTCGGCAGCAGAATCACAATGAGCCTCAAGGTTTCCAAAATGTTATGCCATGGCATAATGCCAACAAAGGAGCTTCATCTTCAACAAGCATGAGTTCATTGGAAGCTACAATTCAAGAGTTCATATCCACTACGAAGACAATGCTGCAAGACTATTCTACTTCAATTAAGAATCAAGGAGCTTTACTTCATAGCCAAGGCGCCTTACTTCAAAGCCATAGCTCGTCTCTGAGAGCTTTGGAAGGTCAAGTTGGTCAGATTGCTACGACATTGCATGAGTGCCAGCAAGGACGTTTGCCAAGTGATACTGAAGTCATTAGAGCACCTGGAAAAGAGCACTGCAATGTGTTAACTCTTAGGAATGGAACATAAATCAATCGACAAGTCAAGTATAGGAGGATTCTGCTAAGATACCAGATTCTAATGCCAAGGCAAAAGCAAATTCTACTCCTGCAGCTAAGGAAGCTAGACCTCCCCCACCCTTCCCGCAAAGATTGAAGAAGCATAATGATGAAGTTCAGTTCAAGAAGTTCGTGGACATTCTTGATCAGCTCCATATCAATTTACCTCTCTTGGAAGCTGTTGAATAGATGCCGATGTATGCCAAATTTCTAAAGGAAATCTGTACCAAGAAGAGGAAAGTAGAGATTGTTGCCACGACAACAGAATTTTGTTCTTCATTGAGTAAGTTACCGCCAAAGAGAAATGATCTGGGCAGCTTCATTATTCCTTGTTCAATTGGAGCTAATTTCGTTGGAAAGGCACTGTGTGATATTGGTTCAAGTATCAACTTAATGCCGAAATCGATATTCTTGAAGCATGGCATAGGAGATGCAAGACCCACCTCAGTTATTTTACAACTTGTCGACAGATCCCATGTTAAACCTGAAGGGAGAGTCGAGGATGTCATAGTAAGGGTGGATAAGTTTATGTTTCCAGTCGACTTCTTAATTATGGACTGCAAAGTTGATGCCAAGGCACCAATCATTCTAGGAAGACCTTTCCTAGCCACTGGACGTATCTTGATAGACTGTGAAAAATGTGAACTCACCATGAGAGTGGCTGATCAATGTTTTTCGAACGCTCAAATATGTTGATGACACTGAAGAATGCCAAGGCGTTTCTGAATTGAACTCAGTGATTGAAGAAGAGACTGAACATCTTTGCCAGAACAATTTCATTCAGCTAGCAGAAAATGAATATTGGGTGGATGATGAAAGCTTAGTGGAGTCTGACAACTTTCCAATTTTTGAGGAAGAATCTAGCTTACTACAAGTTAGATCAGATATGAATTTTGAACCTCTAAATTTTGATGAATTTATTCCTCCTAAGCCTTCATTAATACATCCACCCACTCTAGAGCTTAAGACTTTGCCATGTCATCTTAAGTATATTTACTTAGGTAGCGATGAGACTTTACCATTGATTATTTCTGCTAACTTTACTGCTAATCAAGAGCAAAGTTTGTTAAGTGTGTTGATGCAGCATAAAAAAGCAATTGGTTGGACTATGGCCGATTTGAAAGGTATCAGTCCCACGATCTGCATGCATAAGATTCTGCTTGAAGATTGCCACGATAATTCAATAGAACCATAAAGAAGACTCAACCCTGTTATGAAGCAAGTGGTGATGAAAGAAATTTTGAAATGGCTTGATGCTGGAGTGATCTACCCTATCTCAAATAGCTCATGGGTGAGCCCTGTCCAATGTGTTCTGAAGAAATGAGGCACGACGGTGGTTACTAATGAGGATAATGAGCTATTACCCACTCGCACTGTGACCAGATGGAGGATATGCATGGACTATCGAAAACTCAATAAAGCTACAAAAAATGACCATTTTCCTTTACCTTTCATCGACCAAATGTTGGATCGATTAGCCCGCAAAGCATTCTATTGCTTTTTGGATGGGTACTTGGGGTACAATCAAATTGTCATCGCACCAGAGTACCAGGAGAAGACTACATTTACTTGTCCCTATGGTACTTTTGCCTTTAGGAGGATGCCTTTTGGACTCTGTAATGCCCCGGCAACATTTCAGCACTGTATGCAATCCATATTTTCAGACATGGTTGAGGATTTTTTGGAGATTTTCATGGACGACTTTTCTATTTGTGGGGATGATTTTGAATGATGCCTCGGCAATTTAGCAAAAGTTCTCAAGAGATGCGAGGATGCTGAGTTGGTCTTAAATTGGGAAAAATGTCACTTCGTGGTGACTGAAGGCATTGTATTAGGCCACAAAATTTCTCACAAAGGTATTGAGGTTGATAAGGCGAAGATTGAAGTGATTGAAAAGTTGCCACCACCAACTTCGGTCAAGGGCATAAGAAGTTTTCTTGGACATGTTGGATTCTATAGAAGGTTTATCAAAGACTTCTCCAAGATTTCTAAGCCCTTGTGCACATTGCTTCAACAAAACTAACCCTTTGTGTTTGATGAATTATGCCTCGGCGCATTTACTGAGCTGAAACGACAACTGATCTTGGCACCCATTGTAGTCCCTCCCGATTGGACATCACCATTTGAGCTGATGTGTGATGCAAGCGATTATGCCGTAGGAGCTGTTCTGGGGCAACGCCGAGGTAAAATGTTTCATGTTATTTATTACTCTAGCCTCACTTTAAATGAAACACAATTAAACTACACTACCACTGAGAAAGAATTACTTGCCGTGGTATTTGCTTTTGATAAATTTATACCTTACCTAATAGGCACTAAAGTTATTGTTCACACTGATCATTCGGCTATAAAATACTTAGTGAACAAAAAGGATGCCAAGCCTAGACTTATTAGGTGGATCTTACTTTTGCAAGAATTTGACTTAGAGGTGGTATATAGAAAAGGAACTGAAAATCAAGTTGCTGATCACTTATCTAAGCTAGAGAACAATTTTGAATGCCATGACACTGTAGATATCCAAGAGGAATTTCCTGATGAGAAAATTTTATATGCCACGGCAATCCCGTGGTACTATGACCTTGTTAATTTTCTTGTTAGTGGAATTGTGCCTTTTTATTTGAATAGTCAACCTAAAAAAAAGTTCAAGCACGATGCAAGGCACTATTTTTGGGATGAGCCATATTTGTTCAAGCATTGTGCCGATCAGCTCATTAGACGATGTGTACCTAAAGAGGAGCAAAGTGATTTTGTACCATGTCATTCGGCCCCAACTGGAGGCCATTTTGGTGGAGCAAGGACTGCTGCTAAGGTCCTGCAATCAAGTTTTTACTGGCCAACTCTGTTTAAAGATGCCCAAGCATTTTACAAAGGATGTGATCGATGCCAACGGACTGGAAACATCTCCAGGCGACATGAAATGCCGCTACAAAATATTTTGGAGATAGAACTGTTTGATGTATGGGGCATTGATTTCATGGGACCATTCCCATCTTCTGAAGGAAAATTATATATCTTGCTTTCTGTGGATTATGTGTCAAAATGGGTGGAAGCAATAGCAACATCAAGGAATGACTCCAAAACCGTACTCAATTTTTTGCACAAGTATATTTTCACTCGGTTTGGAGTACCTCGTGCTATCATTAGTGATGAGGGAACCCACTTTGATAACAAGTTGACTGCCAAAGCATTGAAGAGATATGGAGTTCGACATAAGATTGTCACGGCATATCATTCGCAGACAAATGTTCAAGCAGAGATATCTAATCGAGAGATCAAGCAGATTTTAGAGAAAGTGATGCACCCAAGGCGTAAGGATTGGTCGCCAAAGTTGGATGAAGCACTTTGGGCGTACAGAACTGCATTCAAGACTCCTTTGGGGATTTCACCCTTTAAGTTGGTGTATGGTAAAGCTTCTCATCTCCCGGTTGAGCTTGAACACAAAGCTAATTGGGCCATCAAGCGATTGAATTTCGATGCTCAACTAGCTGGGGAGCATAGATTACTTGAACTTAACGAAATGGAAGAGTTTAGAGCACAAGCATATGAGAATGCTTGGATATACAAGGAGAAAACCAAGAAGTGGAATGACCAGAAACTGATGCCATGGCATTTTCATGAAGGGCAACAAGTCTTGCTTTACAACTCCAGACTCAAACTCTTTCCTGGGAAACTCAAATCTCGATGGTCAAGACCATTTGAGGCGCATTATGTCTATCCCCATGGAGCTGTTGACATCAAGAGAATAGACAATGGGATGATCTTCAAGGTCAATGGCTAGCGTTTAAAAGCATACAATGGAGTTCCACCACCACACAACAAGGACGTGTTACGTCTGCACGATACTGGTGCCCAGAGGAGAACCAAAATTCGATGCCACGGCATTGAATTTGTGTCTGTGCATAAATAAAAATTTAAAATTTAAGTTTTTCTTTATTTTTATTTTTATTTCATTTTGTAATTAATTTTTGATATGATTTATAGGGACCACAGTGTTGCAAACTGTGCAAGGAGCGGTTGCCAAAGGGATGAAAGTACAATGCATTAATAGGAGAGATATTCTTTTTATTTGTTTCTTTTTATTTAATTTAATTTCTGACATTTTTTTCTCTTTCCACAGACTTGTCTTATCACCATCATTACCTTTTAGAAGTTTTTTTCCTTCCCCATACACGCATAACCCCCTCCACCTACTCAATACTCTCTTAACTGTCCTATCACACCTTTTCTCTCTTAAATTTTTAACTTTTTCTTTTCTCTTTCTTTATTAATTTTTCTCTTTCATTTTAACTTTTACTTCTTTGGATACGTGAAGCATAGAGATGCTGTGGTGGAATCAATGTTTCAAGAAATTATTCCCTACGGTCAACGGAATTTCCCTGTCTTCCTAGACGAATTTCCCTGCTGTGGTGGAATCATATTGTCCTCCCGCTGATGATCTGATTCCTGCTCCATACCATTCTAAAACTCCTGAATATCCGCCCACTGTCCCTGTCGAAGAAACACCCAGCCCTATCCCAGCACCCAATCCTTCTCCTGCACCACATAGTGGTCGACGCACCAAGACCACGGCTGGACGAACTGCTCGTCATTACTCCACTTCTTCCGAGTCCAGCCCAGCACCAATACGCAAGCACACCAAGCAAGGAGCTGTTAGCACCTCCAAGGCACCACCACACAAACATTGAGGTATCTCATTTGCATTCATTATAATTTAGTTGCATTTCATTGCATGGTATTTAGTTTATATTTAGTTTAGTATAAGCATTGAGGACAATGCTTCCCTTAAGTTTGGGGGATGTATTGTTCTTGGTAGGTCATATGCATGATAGCATTAGCGTAGTATTATGCCATGGCATCAGTAAATGGTAGGATAGTTAGATAGAATGTTTTTAGGATACCCGATGATGATGATTTTTGTCAGGCTAGATTCTGAATGTAAATGACTGTTGAGAATGATAGAACTCACTCTAAGGCTTGATGCTTTGTGAAAATGTTACACGATTTGTATGATTTTTATACTTAGAAAATTTAGAAAAAATTTTATGAAAGAACTCTAGTTAGTTTTGGCATTGAAATATAGTTTTGTGCTTAAAAGAAAAAAAATCAAAAACAACTCCCTTGGAAATGAAACTGTGAATAAATGCTTAGGTATAGCTGTAGAGAGACACTCCTCTTTGTCGTGGTATTGCCTGGAACTTTATTTAATAAATGGCAGCCTTGTGCATATGAGTGAATGAAAGTAGTCACGGGATGACTCTACTTAACTAGCTCGGGGGTGGAAGGTATGCTCCCTTTCATGTAGAGTGTGGGAGAGTAGGTGTGATGAGCTGACTCCCTTCATAACAGCAAGTAATTAAAAAAAAGGGAGTAAAAATGTGCTTAATGAATAAGTAAATGCCTTGGCAAAAACTAGAGGACTAGATTAGAAATTGTCTAAGTTTGCTAAGTATAGATTGGATACAATCACGCACACACACTACCACAAAGGATCTTGACCTAGGGAAAAGTACTTGAATTCTTGATAAGTCTAGCATGTTGAAGCCTATTTTTTTTCCTGAGGGTTGAAATTCAATTTTATCCTATTGTCTTACTGTCGAACATTGCCATGACATTTTACTTATGTAACTGCTATCCATTGCTTGAGGATAAGCAATAGCTTAAGTTTGAGGGTGTGATAACTTCCTAAAAAGGCTACTTTTAAGGCCTTTTTCACTTAAGTTATTGTTTGTTTAAAAGCTCATTTTAGGCATTTTAGGATCATGTAGTTGCATATAGTTGCATTTGTGGTAGTAGTGTTATTT